AAGTCTATTTCCTTTGCCAGATTGGGGAAATTCTCCTTTATTATTTGTTCAAATAAGTTTTCAATGTCTTGGTCTTCCTTCTCCCCTCTGGCACACCTTTAATCCAGATGTTGGAACGTTTAAGTTGTCCTGGAGGTTCTTAAGCCCCTCCTCATTTTTTTTTGAGTTCTTGTTTCTTCATTCTTTTCTGATTGGATGTTTCTTTCTTCCTTCTGGCCCACACCATTCATTTGAGTCCTGGTTTCCTTCCCATCACTGTTGGTTCTGTGTTCATTTTTTTTCTATTTCACTTTTCATAGCCTTCATTTTTTTTCCTCTAATTTGTGACCATATTCAACCAATTCTGTGAACTTCTTGATTACCAGTGTTTTGAACTGTGCATCTGATAAGTTGGTTATCTCTTCATCACTTAGTTGTACTTTTCTGGAGCTTTGATCTATTCTTTCATTTGGGCCATTTTTTTTCTCAGTATGCCAGATACATATAAGGTGTGGAGCCTTAGGTGTTCACCAGGGCAGGGCAACCCACCTCGCTTTGTTGTGGTGCTGTATGTGGAGGAGGGGTCTGGGAGGGAACAGTGCTGCTTGCTCTGCTCTCTGCTGGTTTTCAGTCACTTCCTTGGCTACCCACAATCAAATTGGGCCCTTCTGGTGCTGATTCTTGAGTAGGTGGATTTGTGTACATTCTAGGACCCTCTGGGTCTCTCCAGTGAGCTCTCCTGTGAGGCTGGGAGCTTCTCCTTCCACCTCAACCCTCACAGGTGTTTTCAGTCAGAGGTTTTGAGGCTTTATTTCCCCATGCTGGAACCCTGGGTTGCACAGTCTCTCTCACTCCCCAGTTGTGCCTCCCAGTTTATCTGCACAGGAATGTGGGACCACTGCCTTGCCTGCCCCGGTCCTCCAGCTGCCACCTTGCGGCGAGTCCTCTCCATCTGGCTGCCCATGTCCGTCCTTTCTACCAGTCTGAATGAATGTTTCTTCAACTCCTTGGTTGTCAGACTTCCATACAGTTTGATTTTCTGTCAGTTTTGGTTGCTTTTTGTTTTTAAATTTGTTGTTGTCCCTCTCTTGGTTGTGTGAGGAGGCACAGTGTATCTACCTATGCCTCCATCTTGGCTAGAAGTCCTCATCTATCTAAAGTTTTTATCTAGTTTTTATGTCCCATGCCTGTTTTTCCTCAGAGACAGTTTCTACTGATTTTTCTTCTTAAATGGGCCATGTTTTCCTGTTTCTTTGTATGCCTTTTGATTTCTTTGTTTCTTTTTTAAAAAATTGGGTATTTGAAAAAGTAGCCATTTTCCCCAGTCTTTGTAGACTGGCTCTGTGCTGTAAAAAGACCTTCATTAATTAGCAGAGTGTGTTTTAACCTCTGAGTTAGCCTGGAGCAAAGGCATAAGCTCTTCTCAGGACTTCTTCTGAGCACGTATCTTCCCTGGGCTTGTGTGCGTGCTATTTTCAGTTCCCCCATATTCATAGCTGCTTTTAAATGTCTTAATTTCCCAATCTCACTTGAACTTCTCCTTGGGCTTGAGTTGTTCTATTGTATCTCCCTCACCCCCTATCCTCTTGCCCTAGTCGTGTGTGGGTCTGCAGTCATCCTATGGCTTTCACAATAAGTAACCTGCCGTTTTCTGTAGCTTTCCTCATCGGAGCTCCCAGTTAGACAAAACAGAGACCTGTCCTTCAGCAGGCCCAAGACAGGTTAGGATGTTGCCAAAAGGTCTGCTGTGGGGGTGGGGGGTGGGGGTTCTGCCCGCAGAGCTCCCCGGGGCTGAGAATAGATCTACCAAGACATGATCTGCTTAGGGAGTCTCTCAGAGGAGAAGGGTCCTAAATATTTCCTTTCCTGTGTTTTTATTGAGTTCAGCTCACACTGAGATACATAGTATGCATGTAAAACTCATCAACAGTGCTCAAAAAGCTACAGTCATGAGAAACTTACATCATTTACAGATAATAGTTGAAGAAACACAGGGATCATCTCTGGTCAGTGTTGGCTTTAGCTCAAGTGTCTGTTTCATAGCAACAGAGCAGAGCAAGCCTCAAATCAAACAATGCATATTGTTTCTCTGAGGAGATTTGCCCCCAGGAGGGAGCCATCTGTTCCAGTACAAGGTTGCAGCTGCCTCTGACATAGTTCCTAGGCTGAGTCAGGCAGGGAGACCAAAGCAGCCAAGAAACTAGGAGATTTTTACAAAAAGACTAAGGACTCAGGCTATCACAAAGCCAAGGGGTAAGGGTCTTTCTGCCCCTTCTCTGAAGACCCCTAAGTTCTTCCCTGATGGCCCATTGTGACTATGCCTGTCTTAGGTCAACCCTCCCCTTTTGAGGGGTTCTTACCCATCATTGGCTAACCAGTCATCTGCCTGGGCAAAGCAGAGGGAAGTGAGAGAGGCAGGGGCTGCGCTCCTGCCAGAAGGAAAAGTTCTGTCTCCTTAGTGGCTGATGTCCCCAAGGCCTTTTCACTCAGCTCTAGCCATGGGATTCTCTTGTCTGTTAACGAGGCCACGGTCCCTGAAACCACACAGGATGGCTCCCAATAGTCTGCTCTCTTCCCTGCAGTTTGAGGGAAGGAACTAGGCATTGGTGCTGCTGTCTTCAGGTGGTTTCATATGGAGAGAAGTGGGGCAGGGATGAGTAAATACCACAAAATTTCTTACCATACTGAATGTGACTTTTTCTCGACTGGGCACATTTGTTTGGTTGCTGTAGATCTTTGACTATTTTCCAGAACTCCTATAAAATATTTTAGCCAGTACCAATTTTTTAAATTATTCCATGGGGGAATAAGGGCCTAGAACTCCCAATTACACCATCTTGCAGATGTCCTCTCCCCATTAAAGGATTTTAAATAGGGACTTATTTGTGTACCTGATGAAAATATGGGAAATGGATTGGGTGGAAGAGCTTCCTCTGCTGTTCTAGGTCAGGACCTGTGTTCTAGACCAGGGAGCAGTGGCACACAATAGGCTACGTCCATTCCCTGAGGGTTTATAGCCTATAGGGTACTTAGATCTTCAGGAACTAATCCCATAGACAGTGGCATCATGACAGATAATTATGGTACTAAAGCAAAAGGGGATAGGCAGCTCAGAGACAGCGTAATAGGGGTGGAGGCTGTTTAAGTTGGGGGCAGTCAGAGAAGGTGGGGACAATAACATTTCAGCAAAGGTTTATGGATGAGGACAAGGTTGACCAGCTTGGCAGACAAGCATTCTAGGAATGCTTAATGATCTGTGCAAAGGGCCTGAGGCAGGCATGACCTGAGTTCTAGGGACAAAGCAAGGCACTACATTTTTAGAGCACCATGAGTAAGAGAAGCTGCAGAGGCCAGTAGGGGGCCAGGCCTGGAGCCAGGTTGGTCACATGAGCTGTGGGAAGCTTCCATATGCAGTGAGACCCAAGAGAAGCCCAAAATAAGGCAGGGAGAGGGCCTGGTGGGGGTAGAGTTTTGGAGAGGGAGGTTTGTTCTTTGGCACTGGTCAAGAGAGCCTTTTCTGCAGCACTGCTTATGTTTCCTGCTTCTAGACTAAATTCGGGTCATGGGCCACTGGAGATGCCTTTCCCCTAGGCAGGGCCACAGATGTAACCATAGGTTTAAGTGGTGCTGCTCTGACCTGAGCTCCGGGGACCTGAGGGCATCCACATGTGACTGTGGGGTTAGATCCCCAAAAGGAGGGACTGTAGAAGGCCTGGACTCCACTGTTTGCCAAGGACCACTTTTGTTCTATTTCTTCTCCACCCAGATGGCCTCAAGGTTGGCATAAAGGCCACTGTAGTCTTGCCTCCTACACAGATAGTCCTGGCTCCCACTTTTCCCATCCCCAGACAGTGCAATCACACTGTCCTCCAGTACTCCTGCCTGTCAGTGTCCCTGGTTCCAAGGGATGTTAACCTCTTGCTGAACTTCTGTAAAACCAGCATTCAGTATCTATGTCCTGTTCTGAGCATATCTCACATCTCTTTGTACCCTGAAACAGTAGCATGAGGCAGCTTTCTTGTGAGCAGCTACATGTTACAGATGAGACCAGCCCAATGCAAGGAGATAGCTTGCCTGTGGTCACATGGCTGCTGCAGTCAGAGCCTAAACACATGCCTTGCTTTCAACCTGGCACTTCTCTGTCCCTTCCCCTAGGAATTTCCACTAAATTACCATAACTGAGAATTAGGAAGAGACTGTGGACATTCCTCGAGGGTAGGGGAGCCTTAAGAATGAGGCACCTCATTTCTTGTCCTTTGAAGATTGACGTTCCTATGTGGTGCTTTGCCCTAGAAGCTGCTAATAAAACGTGAACACATGCTTCCGTTTGGGGGTGCATTGAACCAAAACTAGTGGTGCTGAATTAATTTATTTTGCTCCTCAGGTAGAGCTTTTATAGTTCCAGCACACGGGCATTATTTCCTTCTTGGCAGGAATATGCTACATGAATGAAAAGAGGTAACTGTTGTTAAATTTCCAGGGAAACAAGTAGTGTTTTTCAGATTTATCTGGGTCTCGCAGTTCCCAAAGGACAGGATTTTCACTCTGGAAAAGTAAGTTACTATATGGCAGAAAAAGTGAGAATTTAAAGAATAGATCAGATGGAAAGAATGGAATGTTCCATTACCTTGTAAGGTTGTGGGACGTCACTTACACATAACTTTTTAAAACAGAACAAGTCCAAAAGCTGTTTGTCTAGAACAGCACTTAGAGGGAAATACGCTCAAGCTGTGGGTCTGTGTCCCGCCTCACCACCTGCAGGACCTACAATCTTGGATAACTTACCTAGTCTTAAAAATCTTAGCTTTTCTTCTATAATATAGGGATCATACCTTCTAGAATCATTTTGAGGATCAAGTGAACCTTATGATTCACAGGAGAAAATGCAGACCAGTTTTTGGTTCAGTGTTTTTGTCCTTGAGCTCAGGGATTTCTGAGTCACCCAAGAACTTCATAGCCTAATATGTTTTTCTTGCCTCTCCCTTTCTGTCAGCAGCTGTGGCACAGTTCTCAGCAAAGAAATGAGAAAAATACCAAACAATGGGAACCTGAAGATGATGAAGATGGCATACCTCTTGGGACTGTTTGTGTGTCTGTTCATCTGTATTGCCTATATCAGGTGGCCCTGGGTCTCCACCACTCAGGCCTTCTTCAGCATCACTGAGGCAAAGTCAGGGGACCACAGGAGACAATAGGCCGGAAATCCCCTGGGGATGATTGCATGTGGTCACAAGGTCTTCTATGGCATCGTGTTTGATATGGGAAGCACTGGCACCTGAGTACATATCTTTCAATTCACCTGGCAGCCTGGAGGTATCCTGCCTAGGAGAGAAAGCCTTGGCTGTACACTGCTTTTTTCTCTTTCTCTCACAGGAGAGCTCTTGGAATCACCTCCCGTTAAAGATGGTGGTTTCTCAGGGTGTGGGCTAGACTCCCTGCCTTAGACTCGCCTGGGAACTTGTCAAAAATGCAGTGTCCCAGTGATGCTGACTCAGAGTGTGGGCTGGGGTCCAGAAATCTAAATCTCTCAGGAGTTTCAGAATGTTCTTACTTATACTGGTGTCTGGTTACCAGCTAAGGTCAACTGAGATCCTAGAAGGTTTGGGGGCCTGTCCCTTCCCAGCATGCACAGGTAGGTCAGGTAGCTGGGATCATAATTTAGGCCAGAGGTTGTGTTGATGAATTTAAGGCAGGAAGTAACCCCAGATTCAGGAGAGTGGAGCCAGGAGTTGAGGAAAGTCAAATAATTGCAAAGACCCAGGACCCAGGCCAAAACAGAGCTGCCAGTGGAGCCAGGCAGCAAGAGGATGATAAATAAGAGTGGCCTCAGCAGTGAGAGTAGAGCTGGGGCCGGAGCCCTGTCAGCTTTGCTTCCTGGGGTGGGGCCTTCAGGCAGAGGGGAGGGTGTAAGTTTGGACATCTTCACTCGCTGGCTTCTATAAGGAGACCCATATCACTGTCCAGCTGTCCATCCTGTTCCTCCTGCCTTTGATCTCCTTTGCCAGCATCTCTTTGTGCCCATCTGCTCTGGGGGTCATCTCTCCAGCTTCTAGCCATTGTTTTTGCTGACCACTCAGCAGGCCCACTGGTCAAACTGGGTTCCCCTCCTCTCTGCTCTGGTTCTTTGCTGACCTTCAGTGCCTTTTGAGTCCATGCCATTCTGTGCATTTAACTAAGCTGATGATGCCGGACACCTTGAGTAGCTCTCTCCAAAGCCATCATGGCATATTTTAGTTTTCATCTGCTTTGTTTTTAAACTTACTGCAAGTTAAATATATATGTACTGGACCCATCTACCTCCAAAAATGGTTTCAAAGCTAAGTTTAAGACAATACATATCTGCATGTAATCCTTTAATAGCCGTATTCCATTGTTTTATCTTTGGCATAAAAGTTTCCGAATATTTTCTCCTAGGTCTTTGTGTCTGAATTCATACCAGCATCCCTTGGCCACTGTAGGCTCTGAACATTCACCCTGTTGTAGTCCAACCTCCTAATAATTTAAAACATTCAGTTTAAAAAAAGAATAAAACAACTATTGTTTAGAACTCTGTAATGTATCTATCCCAGAATCAATTTCATATTTGCAGTTTGGAATCATCTGCTATAGTCCTCTATTTAATTAATTAGCGAGAATTAACTGTTAAATTTAAGTTTAAGCCCTGGCTGATATGGCTCAGTAGATTGAATGCTGGCCTGAGAACCAAAGGGTTGACGGTTGGATTCCTAATTAGGGCACATGCCTGGGTTGTGGGCCAGGTCCCCAGTAGGGGCTGCTTGAGAGACAACCACACAGTGGTGTTTCCATCTCTCTTTCCATTCCCCTCTCTAAAAACAAATAAATAAAGTCTTTTAAAAAGTCTTAAAATTTTTAAGCTTTAAATGGAGTGTTTTATATGCAAATGATACTTGAATAAAGTTAATTTTTTTAAAAAGGTAATGTTCTGCCTTGGCTGGATGGCTCAGTTGCTTTGAGCATCATCCCATACACCAAAAGGTTGCAGGTTTGATTCTGGGTCAGGGCAGGTACTTCCTTGGGTAAGACTCTGGGTAAGGTTGTGGGTTTGATCCTTAGTCATGGCACATATGAGAGGCAAGCGATTGATGTTTCTCTCTCTTATCAATGTTTTTCTCTTTCTAAAATCAATAAACATATCCCCATGTGAGGATAAAAAAGTATAGCTAATCCTAGTTATATAGAGGTATATATTTGTGTGTAGATTCATAGTTGTACCTTTTTTAAAATATGTCTTCCTTTAGGAACTCCCACCTTGACCCATGAAACCTTCAAAGCACTGAAGCCAGTTCTTTCTGCTTATGCTGATGATGTTGAAAAGGTAGTAATTTTCTCTTATGTCTATTTTTTCATCATATTTGTCTTCTAACTGTGATTTATTAAAGCCAGCTTTTTTTCTCTTGAGCACAGTTGACCATCTTCATCTGGGACATTTCATAGTTTATAGCATGGTCAAAAAATGGAGGAAACTGGTATAGCACATAAGTGCCCTCATCTCCCACTCTCCCACACACACACCCTGGCCATCCCAGGTACTTCCCACAATCAGCACACATGTCACCAGAAGTCTTGATGCATTTCAAAAACACCAGTGCTACAAACTTACAAAAATGCACTATTTGAAAGCTTAATATTTTTTTATTGTTTCAGTTCTTCTGATTGAACATGACAAACGTAGACTAAGACAAAAAATTAAAGTTAAAAATGTATTATGCAAAATCCACAAAACCAAATAAGTATAAAAGATTTAATTAAACTGTCAAATAATGATTTTTGTTAGTTTGTAGCATTTATACTTTTTGTGAGTGTGTGTGGCACCTCCACATTAGCGTCTCCATCAACTACACCATACTACAGGGCCTCCTGGTTGTCACAGAAGTTATTCACCAACAGGGCTGCAACATACAACTTGTTTTTCATCCTGGAAAATTCAGTGTAGCCATGACTTCATATAGCTGTAGCTCCACATGCATCTACTGTCAAACACTTATACTTCTAAAGTACTTAAAGCTTACAACTACAGTAATGCAAGACACCTATTATTTCCACTAAGGCTCTTATGAAACCAATTACTAATATAAGTTCCTTTTTTGGTTACAGAATGTCTTAAGTCAAAAGTTAATGTCATTATTGTCCACAGATGCATCCTGATCCAGGCAGTGAAGTCATAGCCTTGCTCTCCTATAGTTTGGTTAAAAAACATAACCAAAATTAGTGATCCTAGAGTGACCGTAGGTTAGATTCGATTAAATGAGATATCTTTTAGAATAAGCTCTGGGTTTTTAAAATCTTAGTCATTTCATTAGGCAACATACATTCAAGTGGGTAAATTTCACAGTGTCCTTAGTTTCATACATATTTTTCAAGAGCAAGTTTACATGGATAGGAGCAAATATATCTGTATTCTTCTTCCCTCCATTTTTTTTAAATACACAGTGGATTGGCATTCACATTGTTGTACACTTTGCTTTTGTCACTAAACAATGTCACTTGAGTTTCATTTATCAGCAGTATGTGAAGAGCTTCTTTGATTTTTCTGGCTGGATGGTTTGTACTTTTACATGCACATTAAATTTATAGAACCAGTCCCCTCCTGAAAGACATTTAAATAATGGCTAATCTTTTGCTCTTAACAGTACAAGAAAGGTTGCAGTTTATTACATTATGTGCATTTCATTACCCACATGTGCAAAGACATCTCTTCAGTGAATTCTTAGAGTGGAATTTCTTAGTAAAAGGACTTTATGTTTTCCCTTTGCACAGACATTGTCAAATTGCTCTGATGGCATTGTACCTATTGACATGCCTAGCAATATTTTACCAAAATATCCCACATATCCTCGCAGACACAGGGCCTCTTCCAATATGTGGATCAAGCATTCTCGCAGGTGAAAATGATTCCTTAGTGTAGTTATTCATGAGGTTTTAGCACTGTGAGGGACCCCAGAATTCACTCATGATGTTCAGGGGATTTGCAACTCATCTGAGGTTGCCAGGAGAGGGTTTTGATGGTCAAATGTATAGAAAAGGAGTCTCCCTTGTGTGCTTCACCCTGGGATGACATATTTCTGTGCTTACCTGGTCCTTGTGCCCCACACAACTCCCAGCACTGCTTGAGTTGCAAGTTTATGCCGATTTGGAAAATTAGGGAAAAAAATGAAGTTGTAAGCTAATAAAACCAAAAGGGTGAGGGAAGCATCTATGACTCTATATGCTGAGCTTTGACAGACCCTATTTTACCACATTCACAGAGCACTCCAGGTATTCAAGAATTACTGGATGTTGCTAAACAAGAAATTCCTTTTGACTTCTAGAAGACTACCCCCTTGGTCTTCAAGGCCACAGCTAGTTTACTTCTGTTACCAGGAGAAAAGGCTCAGAATTTACTACAAAAGGTAATTTTATCCATTTACTGCTTGGGGGTGGCTTACAATAATTGAAAACATTCCATATTCAGCCAATGTCCAAGTAGTCAGGCAGTCAGATGCTTCCTGAGGAGGGAAACATTGAATTGTTAATAGTGAGTGAATGATATTTTCTTTCTTAAGACATTTAAACTCTTTGTGCCTTCTAAAAGAAATTTGTTTTTATAATAAGAACAATTTTATTTTAAAAAGTCATTGTGCTTTTGAAGGGCTTTGTGTTATTCAAGAATATTCTGTGTGTCAAATTCTATGGGAACTGAATTCCTGACATTTCAGCTCAAGCCTGCTTGTTCTCATGGAAACTCAGTCTGATACTCAGATCCAACTACTGAGGAGGCTCTTTAGCCTCTTCCTGGCTCTCATATGGCCAGGGTATGACCCCAGGCCCTGCACCATCCCTGCAGAGGGCCTTTGGAACCCATCTTTAACAAGTGCTTGGAGTGTTGCTTTTCATCAGGCAAATCAGAGAAACTTCTAAGCAAGGTGTGCCTCCTAAATCCTCTTACTGTTTCTAAATTAGCTACTAAATGGTGGATTGTTGCACATCTGTCAAAGACTCCTATAAAAATTACACACTCAAGTAGGATTGTGGGACACAAGTGCAATTGTACTAAGATTCCTGTGTATCAGTACTTTCTAAAACATGGAGAAAGAATTACATGCAAATGGAGCTGCTCACTGCCTTTGTCTCCCCACTGTCAGGTTGTCTCCTGGGAGCAGTGCCCATTAGGCCATACAGGGGTCTCAGGTCTGAGCTCTGCCTTATAGGGCTTCCTTCTTCATCTCCCATCCTAAAACAAGGCAGCATTTTCGGGCCCAGAAGAGTCAGTGTGCCTCTGAGCTCTTCCAGTCCAGATTTTCTTGGCTCAGGACTCTCCAGGGCAGCATCTGCCTCAGCTAGCCCAGGGAGCAGATTAACAAGGAAAGTACTTGCAGAGTATTAAAGAAGCTTAAAGCAAAACCTGAGTTTTGTTACTTTGCAGCATCAGCTGATGATGCCTGTGGTGTGTTGTGGCCACCTGTTGAAAGCATAGTGTGATAGGAAACTATGAGTTTAGGTTCTAAAGGATAAAGACATGTCTCTCTTTACATTTAGGTGAAGGAAGCATTTAAGGCGTCACCTTTCCTTGTAGGGGATGACTGTGTTTCCATCATGAATGGAACAGATGAAGGTAGAGTTGCCAGAAGCACTCTGTGCAAGGAGTATATCCCAGTGAGATGGACTATGCCTAGGGCTGCTGGGAGCACTCTGAACTCTTTTCTGGTCAGATGCATGGATGAAAAAGGAATGAGTGACTGTTCCATTCCAATTCACAGTTTAACTGTCTCCGAGGGTTTTCTTGGAGCTAGTGTTAATTAGATTCTCATAATTACTGGCTCAAAACTAGCACAGATAAAGTTTCTGAAAATGACCATCCTTTCAGTTTTAAGAACATTTAAAGAGAATGCCCAATTGCTACCGTGTTGAGAATGTTGTGTTTTTAATCCTAAGAAACCCTTAATAAAGTTCCTAACCAGTCCTGGTTTTAAATATGGCCTTAAGAGTTGTATGAAGGGTGGGGGTGGGGAATGTTTACTTGTCTTCCAGCCTCTTCCAAAAGAGAAAATTGATAAAGAATAAGAGTGAGGAATGTGACATTTGGCATAGTATTCTCGTTTTTTTTAGTATGTTATCTTCTAAAACTATCTGCCAGAAGCCACTGGATGGCATTATGAATAAATCTACTTTCTGTAGCTGTTCTGAAGGCTGAGAGTAGTGAGGAAGTGGTCAGTTTGTGCTTCTGAAACCTAAAAGTAGTGATCTGCATCCTGTATTTTGTTTATAGCCACTCAAGTTATTTCAAATGCTGTTTTGTGACTCTCTTGTAGGCATTTCAGCCTGGATCACCATCAACTTTCTAACAGGTATGTTCACTGCATTGTGAAGGTTAATAACAGTTCAGACCCCATTCTTGAGAGCCCAGGGACCTCATTTCTACTCTTTAAAATACCCCCTCGGGGTTTCACAGTGTTCTGGCCCCAAGTAGGTTGTTAGAATGGGTGGAAGTGTCCACCTGGCTAGTCAGAGGGAGCATTGAGTTCAAAGATATAAGTGCTAGGGAAAGGGTGATTTTCTGCAGTCCTGAAAAGGTTTCTACCAGCATAGCTCTACCTTCCTCCTGCAGCAGAGTCCACCAGAGGCCCTGCCCTCATTTCTAAGAGAAGTCAGGACTTCTACAATTAAATATGATGTAAATACTAATCACCTTATAATTGAATTCCTCTGCTGTAGATAGAACAAGGAACAGAAACATCTGTTCTTGGAAACAGGCAGTAAAGAGTTACTTTTCTTAGATTAACTCAGTGCATGAGGATTTTTGTCTCTTTAATGATAGAAAAGACCAATGTGGCTAACACATGTATAAAAAAGAAAAGTTTCTTGACGCTTTGGGAATGGAAAACCATGTTAAGTGACATCAGGAGCCTGAGCCTCAGAGCTATCTTGGGGCATGTAGGAATACAGAGATGTCAGTGTCTCTGAGCTGTGAGCAGTAGATACAACAGGCCCAGCCATGGGTCAGGGTTGTCCTCTTGTTCAAATTAAAGCCACAAGTAGTGGAGCTACTGTTCATACTCTTAAACATGCGGTGCATCTTTACATGGAGAGTTTCTAATAGCTACAGCTACTTCTCTATGTTGTTTTTCTTTTCACTGAAGGGCCTGGCTTCTAACTTCTCCTTACTTTTTCTACTGTACTAATTTGTTTACTAATGTGACAGTGCTGGGCTGGTTTTTACTCCCTGTGCTCCAGGCAGTTTGAAATCCCCAGGAAGCAGCAGTGTGGGCATGCTGGATTTGGGCAGAGTGTCCACTCAGATCACCTTCCTTCCAAGAGTTGAGGTAACCAGCCCCTGCTAAGGGCCCCACCCTCCAAGGCTGCCTCCTATAAGGAGGCCCATAGATCTGGTAGCTCTGGGCCCATGCCATCAGTACCTCTCCTGAGAGTCAGATCCATCCAGTTAATGCTTCCTAGTTTGATCTTAACTCCTCTTGGAAAAAAGTAGAAATTTGGTCTTTAGTGGGGTGATAAAGTAGATATTACTGGAACTCTTTAGGCCAGAATGTGAAGCAGGCCATCTCCTTCCCTCCCCGACAACACCCTCCTTACCCACCATTTTTTAATTATTATTTTTAGTTTCAACAGCAGAGCACTTACAAAATTTACTCATTATTGTTTTGGTTGGGCTGTATTTGTCAGAATAGGTAAATGTTACTCATAAGAAGGAAAAACCTTGTTATTCACTTTGGATGTTTTATTTTACATTTTTGCTCTAATGGAAAGCTTAATTTGACTTAATGAAAAGCTTTTTTATTTTATTTTTTATGTGCTGGACACTGTTCTTTTCTTCTTTTTTCTTTTTTTTTGTTACTATTTAGTCCCCTTATACCAACCCCCTACCTCCTACCAATTACCACACTGTTGTAGATGTCCGTGAGTCATTTTTCTGAAAAGCTATTTTAAGTGAATACAACTGTGAATATCCCTGTTCTTTCAAATGAATCGAGGGAATGGGGAACAGTTTTCTAGAAAGTCCAGCAGGAAATGTAGTAACCCTCATGTTCTTCCCCAGGACACCTTTCAGACCACCCCACCCAGCTGCAGACATCACTGCAGATTTTTAATAGGACCTACAAGCTCTACTCAGACAGGTTTGTCTTCGGGAGTGAGGGTAGAAAGGTTGACTGTCTAGGCACATAGTTCAGCTAGTGCTGCTCAACCTCCCCCTTGAATGACTCCTGCCTTGTGGAATGACTAGAGTATTCAGGCACAGACCAGCTATGTCCCTGATGCCTCCTGCTGTGGTCCCACCTGGAGCCTCTTCCTCCTCTCCCTGCTATTCCTTCCTGTTTCTCCCTTCTACCTTTATTTTTCAGGTTTTCTACAGCAAAATCACATTTCTTCTTTTATTCTTATTCTGTTCTACTTTGGAGGAGGTTTTTGAAGTAGGGAAGAACCTATAGATTCTGTGTGAATTTTCCGGCACCCACAGGGCATCTTCAGATTTTTTCTGTAAAGTACATGTGAACCATCAAGATCAGGGTTGTGTCTGTTGCATTCACCAATGTCCACAGCTCTTAGGCAATTTCCTGTCAAGTAGTAGGCTTTCATTTGTTGAACCAGTTAGCTGAATGCCCTAAACTCCACAAAGGGAGGCTTCTAGAAGAAGTAGAAAAGTCTGCTGCCTTGCCACACTTGTTTTGGACCCCGGCCAGGTGAATGTATTGGAATCAGAGTTGAGGATGGCAGCCAGCACATCCTGTGTCAGGCTAGCTCCTCACCCAGGATTTTCTTTCCACAGCTACCTGGGGCTTGGATTGATGTCAGCATAGCTGGCGATTCTGGGTGGTGCAGAGGGGAAACTTGGTGAGTGGAATACAGTGTTGAGAGTTCCCCTTGCTCAGCAGCCATGAGGAGTCCTTCGGGAAAGGTGTCCTTCTCCTCCCTGCACCTCCACTGACACAGCAACTCTCTGACCCCTGGCCTGTCCTCCCTGCCAGCAGGACTCAGGGATCCCAGGAGGGACATGTATAGAAGAATGTGCTCCAGATCTTGTCAGTGGCACCCAGATGGGGACACTAGCCAATATATTTTACCTGTGCACCTTCCAAGTTATTTCTTAAAAGAAAGATGCTAAGAAAGTCATTCTGAAATACTGAGCTGGGGGATTTTAAAATCTCAAATAACAGTTGTCACCTACATTTGGAGTCTGCTTGTTTTTCAGGATTTGAGGAGAGTACCTTATCTTTCAGGACAGTATGAGAAGGGGGACAAGGAAGTGTGATTCAAGCTGTTGCCATGGGGCTGGGGAACTTGTTCTCTCATTCACAATGATTCTAGCATTGTGAGAACATCCCTCTGTCTTCTCTTGCTTTATCATAAAACAGAGGCTTGACTTTTCCTCCAGACCTAGTGTTTTACTAGAGATGAAGCCTGTGTCTGGTCAGGTTATTAAAGTCACATTTACTCCCAGTTTTTCTGCTCCCTCTTGATGGACCTGGCTGAAGAGAAGCCCATCATTGGCTGAGTAGGTCTTAGGGATCACTGTGTCCCGATTCAGGAATGGCGGGACACGGCTCTTGGGCTGGTATCTTCCTTTCTATCCTGATGACATCGGCAGGAGCCCCGAAGACCTTGACCCCATGGGTCTGGTCCAGACTCTTGCATGTGAGCTCACTTTTGTTCTCCAGCCACACACCCTTCCCTTGGCCCTGACAGTTTGTGCCCCCTCTGTCTCATCACCCCCTCAGCCCAACACTTCTAACTACCTCTTTCAAGAGCCTGGTTGCTCTGACACAGTGGGAATGTTCAACTGAAATTTTGTTTTTCTATGTATATCCTGTTTCTGTTCATTTCTTTCAAATTCTGGTATTTAGCCTCATAATGATATCCCCTGGCAAAGCGAAAAATACATCCATATCTCAGAAACACCAGTGACCTTCATTCTGGGTCCAGAAAACACCTATTTAGCCAGTGAGAAGAAGGCAAGCACCAGTTTGCCCACCCATGGCTGGCATCAGGGTCCCATCAGCTCCCGTACCCTCTCCTCTTGGCAGAACAGCTGAATGGCTACTGGTCTTCTTGACAGGCCACACAAGTGCCTGATTGGGACAAGTGGGGCCATGACACCCACTAAGAGGGATGTACCCCAGAGAACAAGTCTCCCTGTTGTGTTACCTGTTGTTGAACAACTGATCCATTACCCACCAAATTGAGTGGCTGCAAACAGCAGTCATTTCATTGTTGTATCTCATGATTCAGTAGGCTTCAGCTGAGTGACACCTCTATTGGAATCTCTGGGGTCCCATGTGGTGGCATTTAGGGTGGATGGGCTGCACGTCTACACCCCAGCATTCCTCCACATGGCCTCTTCCCAGCAGAGCAGCCTACACTTCTCCCTGGCAGCTCAGAGGAAGGAAGACTGCCTGAGTCACAGGACATCGTGGCTCCTGTACCTTCTGTTGGTGAAAGTAGGCCCCGGCCAGAATCCAGGGTGGGGATAGGGACCTACTTCTTGATGGGAAAACAGCATGAACATCCTCAAGGTGTGGCATTGTGGGGCCAGCCTTGGAGGCCAACTACTATACCTTGGAGGCCAACCACTATACCTTGGAGGCCAACCACTATATTGTCTTTACTAAGTATGGGGCCTTAAGTTTTGTGGAGCAGCACAGATTTGTGGCATGGTAGCACTTGATGACCCTGCCTCAGTCATCCATAAAATTGGGTAACGATGGCTCCCCTTCTATTAGAGTCTTGTAATAATTCACTGAACAGCACTAGGTGTGTGGTATGGACCCCTGAAGCCCCTCAGTGAAATAGAGCTGGGGGTGGCCATGTTTCCAGAGCAGATGAGGCTTTGCTACAGCCTCTATGATACAGGATTTTCTTCCTACAGCTGACCTGGAACACTTCCAGGAGTGAGGTCTCACCTTTAACTTTCTGTGCCTTTAGTATTAGCCTAAAATACTCTGTCCTATAGGCCTCCCCTCAGTAGAATCATGTCTCTCAGGGCCATGCAGTGCTCTAGTCTTACAGTGACAGTGTGCTTTTCTTTTCTTTTTTATCTTTTTATTTCAATAGAGGATAGAAAGGAGTCCTTGTTTGTCTCCCAGTTTCAAAGCAGAGTGGGACCGTGCTGAAATAACATACAGAATTTCAGGACTAAAGGCAGGTACTGTGGATTTATCCTTCACTGGCAGCTTATAAGGGTTAAAAATGACAGCCTGCCCTTTCCAAGGATCTCTTAGAAGCATGGAGACTGTCATCAAACCTCCTTTACAGACAAGCTTGTACACGTCCATGAAATAGAGGCACTCTTTGAACCTAATCAGGACTCTAGGTAACCCACTGGGATCTACCAACTCCCGTGAGGTCTCTGTACAGGGCTTCCTTGTCTATTGCTAAATACTTCTAAAGGGCCAGATTTCCCACCAAGCCTCCAGTAAGAAAGCACCTGAACATCCCAAGTCTCTAAGAAAATCAGCAAGCTTGTTTCTGAACAAAGGAAGAAATGGCTTCTCGTTCTCCCTCTAGGACAAGAGAGGCTCATCCAGGCTTTAGAATCCCTGAAGCCCTGTATTGGGTTCTCACCAGCCTGACCTCTCTCACCCCACATGGTCTTTGTTGCTGTGTACATTGTGAATGTCATCTAAAAGAAATATTGAAATATTTGTCTTAGGTTGGACACATGAGCATGAGGTTTGTCTGCCTTTGGTGATAGAGCTCTTTCTAATCTTCTGACACCAAATATGTGGATTTTCTATGCCAATTCTCCAAATAATTTATTAAATCCTTGTCCATTTGTAGTTAATTCAATCCTTAGTTCCTCACCCCTCCTCCCTGGATGTTGGGGTTGGGAAGCTCCAACCCTCATATTACATGGTAGGTTCCTGCAACAACCATCTGTCATCCTGTAGCCATCTAGGAACCCACCAGGAGTCACCTCATTAGTATAAGCTAAGGTCTACTTAAAAGGGGCTTATTATGAACAGCAGAAGATACACCTCTCACCCCCAATTACTTGAGGATCTTACAAGCAATTTAAGAGCTCTGTATCAGAATCCAGGAACAAAGACCAAATATGTTTTTTATTATCCACTGACCATGCGCAGGTTACTGACTCTGCCACTTGTGCACATGCCATTTGTCAGGCCCTGGCACAGCCACTGGGCACACAGCAGCAGTGCACAGTGCAGACAAGATCTGTGGCCAGGTGGAATAGAAGGAGTCAGACAGTGAAACACATGAGAAAGTGCTTTGAAGAAAAATAAAATAGGAGGAGATGGGGTGCTGAGGGAGAGATTCCAGTTTTAGATAAGACAACCAGTGACTATTTGAGATCTGATATGAAGAGATTCAGAATGAACCACACAGATTGAAAGCTGTGGAAGTAGCATGTGCAAAGGCCTTGAGGCAGCTGCTGTATTTAAGGAACAAGGAGGAGATAGAATGACTGATGAGAAAAGGGAGAGGGAAGGGAAATGAAGTCTGAAGAGCAAGGGATGGCTCTCTGGGCTATGGAGAGAATTGGATAGAGCTGTCCTTAGATGGTGGATCAGGTTTTGTAGAATGAGCATGGGAAACTGATCCAGGCATGGGCTGTAGGGCATCCAGTCCCTTAACTCTGGGTTGTATGTTTTCCTTCCAAGCAAGAAGTTAATGGCCAGCCCTGTGAACTTACCAAACTGCCTATTAGACCACAGTTTCCTGATCTGTGACATAAGGAGAGTGCAGGCCTCACCTTCCAGGTGGTTGATAGGATAGAGTAAGATGCTGCATGTTCAGAGTTCAGCACAGGGCTGGCAGAGGCTGAGTGTAGGATAAACAGTGCAAACTTGACCCTATTGAACTACATGAAGACAGCTGTATGGGCCCAGCTAGAAGCTGGTATCCTACAGAGTTAGAAGCCATGCTCTCCAGCCACCTTTGTTCCCAGTTCTCTCCCTTAATCAGGCCCCTCATGGCTCCTGAGAGGTGCTATTGATGTGTATGGTGCTAGTGAGCACCTGACTTGAGGTGGGGTCTATGCAGGCTTCTGGTCCCACTGCACCCTACAGGTCAGAGTCTCTAGTCCTCAGAAGAGGACCTCCAGGTCAGTGACTTGGAGCTCGGTGCCCACTGACTGCTTACCCTGCTTTTGCTTCACCCAGCAGTGAACCTGCACCAGTTGTGTGCACATAGAGTGTTGCAGGTCCTCAAGAACAAAGTGCACAGCACAGAGGAAGTGAATGACATGGAATTTTATGCTTTTTCTTACTATTATGACCTTGCAACAAATGTTGGCCTCATAGGTAAGTGTGGGCTGGACCAGAAACTCATGTGTCAACCCCCAGGTAGAGGGCAGCTCTACTGTGAATCATCTCAAGATGAGAGAAGCAGACTGATTCAGGAAGGTAGGTGTCTTGTCATTGAATAGAAGGTAATAAGCCCCCTTTTTAATAAATAAATCAGGCTTTGAGCCTCTTAGTAAAGTTATGTTGTTGGTACAAGAGCAGTTACTTACTGTTGATTCAGTCTTCTTCTCAGAGGCAGGACTGACTCACCTGTGTAACTCAGACCCTCACGCTCCTGCCTTGATTCCTGAGTCTCTGGCTGATGGAACCACTTGCGATAGAGCTAAGCAGCCATCTGTCCCCAGCTTGCACCCAGATTAGGATGGGGAAGGGTCAGCTGACTCCACTGGTCACCCTGAGGAGCTTTTGGCGTCTCTCTGACTCCTTCACACCCCAGAGTGCAGTCAGGACAAGAGGTAACATTTGGAATTTGTCAAGGCTGGAGGTGTTCAGACTGAGGGTGGAAACTCTTGAGGGTTTGAAGTTACTTCATTGGGTCGTGATCAGTAATTTTATTAATGAAATAATTGAGATACTCAGAATGCATTGCCTGTGGTAAAGATAAGAGCATTCATGTAAATAAAAAGCTGTCCAGAAGAAACTGATGATGTCACTTTCTAGCTCCCAGGGACCTGAGACCTCCAGCTGAGTCTCCACCTTCACTAAGCCTCCCTTTGTCAGGGCCTACTGTAGAAAGCAGCTAACAGGGAGCAGGGTGGGGTGGTTGGAGGGCTCTGTCCTCTCTCTCATACCTCTCTCAGACTCGGGTCCCTCTCAGTGGTGTAGAACAAGAACCTTGGGCTGTCCCTGCAGGCAACCTCATGGTAGTAGGTTGCTTGCAACCTACTCCCATGTCTCCACCTAGTTGGAGCAAGGACACATTAATGCACACTTCCTAACCATGCAGCCACCTATAGATGTTGCAATGCCTAGGGTCCTCCACACCCCTGGCAGCCTATTGGGAGCCTCACCCTAGCATCCCCTTGTCACTCTGAGACCCCCTCACTCTGACTACAGGCTGTCCATTTCCTAAGGTTCCAACATCTTCCCAGGTGACCTCAGGAGATGTTGCATATTCAGAAAAACTCTTCTCTCTCTTGTGGTCAGACATGGCTCTGAAAAAACTGCTTGGGTCCGCATTCAGAAATGGGATCCACTCATGACATTTGCTGACCTAGCAAACACCAAAAGCCAAGAAGTCAGAAGATTTCCTTTCAACATGTTGAGCAGCTGCCTCATACCAGACATAAGTCTCAGGTGGGAGACACCTGAGGACCCTCTATTGAACATTGAGGTTTGGAAGGACATTGAAGAAACCAGTACTGTCTTTGATAACTGGGGACACAGGTCTTGGTGCCTCTAGCCTGGGGAATGGCACAGACGTCTGGGGCTGCACGCTCTTGGAGAGCTACATAAAGGTTCTGCCCATTTGTTTTAAGACCTAACAAATAGCTCCTCACTTTTTTAAATGGGATTTTTTTTTTCACACTCTCAGGAAATTAATACCAGAATACCATTGCTGAGCCTTGGGAAACATTGGTAGTTACTTTTCTTCACTTAAAATTAAAGTTAGAAATTGGGGTCCAGGGATCCTGGTGAGCTTCCTCTTGCATCCCCTATTAGATCCCTGATGTTCCAGCCATCTCCATGTGGTTCTCTGTGGAACACTTGCTTACCCCAAGTTGTGTCAGGCACCTCAGAAACCATGGTCAGTATGTATGGGGCTACTACCCTACTTACAGCCAGACTTTCAGCCAGCCCTTAAATACAGGCCTGTGCTTCTCCAGGCTCTCCAGGTGCCAGCCTTGAAGCCTCAGTGGCATCGAGACTCCTATAGTGGTGGTATAGACTAGACACTCGGTCTTGTCTCACAGATGTGGAGAAAGGAGGCAGCCTAGTTGTTGGAGACTTTGAAATTGTGGCCAGCTACGGTGCATGGCTACTCCACTTACCTGAGTGAGAATGGCTGGAGCTTGAGGGAGGGACAGTGTACCAGCCATGACAGATGTGTTATGGTGCTTGCGACACAGGCAGTAGTACCAGAATTCCTGGATTTTGTTCTTGATTTAGTCAGCCAGATGAGCATTCAGAGGTGTGAGAGTACAGAGTTGAGAGTCTACTTGGGGTCACCATGCTGGGCCCAGGCCACAAGTCCACCACATCCTGTGTGGTCACAGGTAGTGGGGAAGGGGGCTATCTCTGTCCTGAGCTATAAAAAGTCCTTAAGTCCTGAGTTATGAGGAATGGACTCCTTTGATCTCACTTTTCCTGACATCTTTTCACAGTGACTTAGATTGATTTTCAGGGGAAACCTTAAGAGTGATTTCCCCTAAAAGTACCCCAGCAAATTCAAAATTGTCACCAGAACCAGAAGAAGCCAGGGACTCCTGCACAGCAGAGCCTGGCATATGGGGGATGAAGAACTTTTTCCTCTGAGGGGTCACAGGTGGTTGACCTTGTAGCTCTGAGTTGTCCCTCTTTCCTCCTCATCTCATATTCACCTCAACCAAACAGGATATGAAGTGAAGGCTTGTCATAGATTTTATGGTCTTTGGATGTCATTCCCAATTGCAGGTTGAAAGAGTTCACCTTTATATGTTTTTCCATAGAAAGTCCTTCTAAATCCACCAAAATGGCTTGTAAGCTTTCTTGTTACTTTTGGGTTTGTCTCGTGGATACTGGGTGTCCATGACTCTTCAACAGGAAAAGGTACTTAGCAGAATTCCTGGAAAGGCTTTTGGTGGGATGGTCCATCTCCCTTGAGAATAAGAGTGCATTGTTCTGAGCCAGCTTTGATGGTGTTTTCATTCCTCAGAAAGCCCAGGTCTGTACCTGGGAGAGGCATCCAGGGTCATGGATGCAGAGATGTGGCCTTCTACCCATGACACAGAGAGGGAGGTCCAGCCCTGTGGAAACCAGGCTGGTCTCAAGGCCCTGCCTCTTGATGTGCTCTTGGTGGGTCACTGTCTTGTTCTTAGCTGCAGGCTTGTTTAAATCAGCAGTGAGGACCTAGGGCTAGCACAGAGCCCGGTAGAGTGAATGCCTGGAATGGGTGGAGTTAGGTCTGCATTCACCTAATCCCTACCCCTCAGGCGTTGGAACCTGACTGGGAACCAGCTCTCTCACCCGCAGTGTGCCAGACAGTGGTACCCAACCACAGAGCAACCCTTTCATGTGCATGGATCTCACCTATGTCAGCTTGCTGCTCCAAGAATTTGGCTTCTTGAGAAATGAAGTACTGAAGGTAAGGATTCACTTCTTGGGTGTCCCTGTGCCCTTCATGGCCTGAGGGGTCACAATACTGCCTCCTGCCTCCCCAACCAGGCAGTCCTTTCACCAGTGTGCATGGTCCCCTCTGCCCATCCCTTTGTTTTTTTCCAGCTGACTCAGAAAATCAACAATGTTGAGACCAACTGGGTTCTGGGAGCCATTTTTCATTACATCGATTCCCTGAATGGACAGAAGAGTAGGGCTTTGTAGTAGCTGAGCTGCCTACTGTCCTCACAACAGCAGCTCTATTTCTATAAGAACAAACCCTTTTGAATCCTTTGATATGTTGGGAGGAGGCCACAGCTCTGGCTAAGTCTCCTCCCTTCAACCTTGCAGACCTGCCCCTAGAAGGGCAGAGGAGTGGAACTTAGCCCAGACCCAACACTTCCTCCTACCTGCCTCAGTTCCAGGTGGGCAGTGAACCAGACAGAGAAAGGGTACAAGCCAAGGCCAAGATAATGCAGTTGCACTGTTCCTTCTGTCCCCACCTGTAGGGTTTGGCAGCTCTGATATTTATCCCTGTGACTGGAGTCTTGTTTTGTGTCCTTGGCCCTGTCTACCTCCACTTCTCCAAGGCAGACCTCCACTTTCTCCCCCAGAATCAGTGGGGTAGTTGTGCAGGCTGTCCTGGCAGCTCTCAAGGTGAGCCAAGTTGAAACCATCATGCTCTCTGAGACAGAGACAGTGGGTCGGCAGGTTGCTGTGAATTCTGGATTTAAACATGTTTGTTCCTCCTTGGGTGTGGACATGTGAAGTCATACAGAGGTCTTCTTCCTTAGTTTTTGGATGGCTTATGGTTAACTGATGGAGTTGACATTATGAAATGAAGGGGCTAGGGGAAATACCTCTTCATGGCCCTCATGTGCCCCAGCTCTTCAAGGAAGGCTGAATGTGAGCATGAACTGCTATAAAATATTTATGGCTGTGCTGTGTGAGTGGCATGTCTGTCGTGGAGTGCTGAGTGCTTATGTGGCCATTGTATTGTGAGCCCCAGTGAATGTATTGCTGTCATGAACCATGTGCAGCCAAGCATTGTCAGGAGACACAAGCCCCTGTAGGTCAGCCAGCTCTGCAGTCTCTAAAATGCCCTCTTGAAACTGCTCTCTTGTGGCTCTTCCTCCTCAAGCTCCACAGGACACTGACAGCCTTTCAGTGTCAGCAGTACAAGTGTGATCTCAGATTCACAATTGTTCTCTGGTGAATATAGTGTACACAAGATAAGCTGAATCTCTTGTGTTCCATTCATAATAAAGTTTTAGCAATTACCAAGGGTTACTGCTCCTCTGTGATTCCTTTCAGTGAATGACCAGCAACAATCATTCATCCACCTAACACTGAAGGCCCACTCAGGTCTAGGTCTGGAGGCTTTCAAATCCCAAACTATGTGCCACGTTGCCTCCAAAGTTAAAGTGTCTCCAGACAAATTTTTCCTCATCATATCATACCTTTACACACAGCTGTTTATCAAAAGTAGTTCTCTCCACTAAAGAATTAATCATTGTAGTAATAATGAACTTTGTAATACTTAGAGAAATAGTTATACAATCAAGAGAAATAAAAACTGGCTCCCGGCCTAACTGCTCCTTTATCATTTTGACAGCCTCTGATCCTTACTTTTCAGTGTTAATTGAATGGCGGATAAAGGTTTTCATGTAAGAGCTTAAGTGCAGCCCAATAGTCTTAGTATCTACCTTAAGATTCACATGGTTTAGAAGCAGACATTTCCCTGTAAGACTTTCTATCTTGAAAAGCCTCTCTAAAGGTCATAATAGTCTTAGAGCTTCATTTCTATAGCACAGAACATAACATCAGAGGCAGGACAAAGGTGGACATAACTTCAACAAATATGGCTGCATTGTTCCTCCAGACCCACCCAGTGGATAGCTTAGGGTCAAATGGTTTTGAAAACCAATAGGTCAAAGCTTAGAAGCCTGCAAAGATTTATTCTAAAGCAACAAAGAGAAATTTTAATATAAACCAGGATTTTCAGCTTTCTGGGGATAAAGAGATTTCAAAGGATTTTCTTTAAACTCCTCATACATTGGAATATTATTTTGGAATAAAAAGGAGTGAAGTACTCACACATGCTACAACATGGATGAATCTTGAAAACATTAGGCTAAATGAATGGAGCCAGACACAAAAGGTGTCATATTGCATGATTACATTTATATGAGGTGTCCAGAATAGGCAAGTCTAGAGACAGCAAGTGGATTGGTGGTTGCCAAGTACTGGGTGAGTGAGAGAATTAGGAGTAAGTGCTAATTAATCTGGACGCATGGTTTTTAGGGGGTGGTGAGAAGGTTCTAAACTTACATTATGGTGATGGTTATACAACTTTAGAATATGAAAAAACATTGAATCATGTACTTTCAAGGGGTAAATTTATGGTATTTAAATTATATCTCAATAAGGCAATTTTAAAAATGAATACTAGAATTCCAGGGAAGCAATAGCCTAAAACAGTAGGTTTCCATCTTATCATTTTGTTCCCATCTGAAATCATATGATCTTTTTTCAACCCATAGACTTTTTCAGTCTTGTTGTGCTTTTTGCAGAGACCTGTGAGCTGAGAGAAGATTTCCTCCCTGAAGGAGGAGTCTGCTCTGTGCCTTCCAGGTGAACCCCTGAGTCCTTCAGGTGCTAGGTGTGTGGGGAGGGGACCTCAACTACCTATTGAATAATGAAATGTCTAAAAGAAAGGGAAAACTGAAAACCCTGGGAATGGGAACACTGACCTTCCCTCCCACCCCCTGAATTTTCACATATTTTATCAATAGGAGTGCCTGGCCAGGACTCCGCCCAAGCCAAGCAGTGAGGTTAAGGGTCAAACAAAGCAAATAGGCTTTGTTCTGGAAGCCCTCCTGAACTTCCTTTGTGGATGGACGCAAGGGCATGATGTTGCTTCCAGAAAGCCTAGATTACTGGTTAAACATGTAAAGGCTGCCTGTTTTATGGAGGCTATGTCTGCTACTTTAGATTTCTCTGGCTTTCTTACTTCTGACTTAGTCACTTTTTTAAAAGATTTATTTATCTGTGTATTTATTTTTAGAGAGGGGAAGAGAGCAAGAAAGAGGGAAAGAAACATGGATGCTCATATCAATAGGTTGCCTCTCTCATGTCCCCAACTGGGGACCTGGCCTGCAACCAGGCTCATGCCCCAACCAGGAATTGAGCCAGTGACCTTCCAGTTCACAGGTCAGCACTCAGTTCACTGAGCCACACCAGCCAGGGCTGACCTAGTGATTTTTTAAAGAATGTTTTCATTGAGGTATTTTCATAAGGAAAAATTCATAATTCGAATATATAGTTCAAATAATTTTAACAAATATACCATGTAGCCCACATCTGTATTCTGTCACCCGAGAAAGTCCCTCGACAGTCCCCTTACTCTTGGACCTGGCAACCACTGCTCTGATTTCCATCATAACACATTGCCAGCTCTGGAAGTTCACATAATTGGAATCACATTGTGTGCTCTTTTGTGTCTAACTCTCAGCTTAGCATAATGTTTGTAAGATTCACCCATGTTGAAGTGCATGTTAGTAATTCATTCCTTTTTATTGTTGAGTAGTAATCCAGTATTTTGATATATTACACATTGTTTCAGCATTTTCCTATAGGTAGGGCTTTAAAATTTCCATTTTGGAGTTTTAATGACAAGTCTTCTATAAACATTTTTGCACAAGCCTTATTTTGAACATATGTTTTTATTTCTCTTGGATGAATATCTAAAAGTGCAATGGCTGGGTCATATGGTAAGTACATGTTTAACTATTATAGAATAATCTGCCAAACTGTTTTCCAATATGGCTGCACCATTTTACCTTCCCATTAATTAGCAATATCTCATATCCTCACTAACATTTAGTAGTGTCAGTTATTTTAATCTTAACCATTCAAAGAGCAGATTACCAGTACTCTGTTGTGGTTTTAATGAGCATTTCCCTGATGTGATCTAGGGAATTTTAAGAGGCTTCAAGAATCCTTCTGTCTAGGCCAGCCACTTTCCCATCCCCCAATCCACCCTTAGCTGGCATGGTACGCATAGAAGCAATGGGATCTACTTTATTCAGTGTACGCCCCTTGAACCTGCGAATTTGAGGCCGTGCTGGACACACAGGAGCCCTTCCCTGACAAGTACGCACTCTAGATCAGAGCAGCAATTTGTCTCTGTAAAGGCCAGAGAGTAAATTATTGAGGATTTGCAGGCCACATGGTCCCTTGTCACAGTGCTTACTCTGCCGTGGACATGTGAAGGCAGCCTAGACAAAAGGTAAACCAGTGAGTCTGGCTGTGTTTCAATCATACTTGATTTATGAACACTGAAATTTGAACTTCATATAATTTTCACATGTTGTGAATTACTACTCATATTTTTTACTTTTGTAAATCATTTAAAAATGTAAAAAGTATTCCTATCATGAGTGCCATACAAAAACAGGGCCACATTGGGCTGAGGCCTCAGTTTGCTTCCCCTCTATAGTTAAGTGGAGACCCACTCACGTGCAGTTCTAAGCAAGCAGTCATCAAGAACTTCATATGCTCCACTCTAGTAAGTGACTGCCTGAGGGTGAGGGACTGGGATGCCTCCCACTGAAGAGGACAGCAGAAGGCCAGAACCAGAGAGGGAAGGCTGGCTTTGTGTCTTTACAGCCCCTCATACCCCCACAGGTAGCCTTGAGCTCCACAATTCTGGGGCTTCCCTACCCACCACTTCCCTCTGCCCCAGCCCTCTCATTGACTTCAGCTCTGACCTCTCCCTCTCTTGCCTGGTCCCTTTTGAGTTAACATGTCAGACTGCCCATCCACCTTTACCTGCCACCTCCTCAAGTCCCCTTTGCCCAGGCCCAGCCCAAGGACTTGCCAGGGAGGGGCTGAGACTGGCTCAGGAAGCTTGCCTGGTTGGGTGGTGGTTTAAAGAGACAGTTCTGGGCTCAACCCAGTCTTTGGTCTGTGTGAGATGGTTCTGGAGAGCATACAGGGGACAGGGGAGCGTATAAGGAAACCCCATAGCACTACCAGCCAGAGGACCCAAAGGAGCAGCTGAGGATGAACAAAGGGGATACTAGACCTACAGGAAACAAAACACTGGAGGACCCACTCTTGAGAAAGCTTTTTAGAGCTTAGAGGAAAAGGCAGGCCTACTGGGCCTGTGGGTCATTGGCAACTGATCTGGGGAGCACTGAAGAAGCCACTGACCTAGAGAA